TACGTACTGTATATAGTACATAATTAGAATTTTATAAATATTTAGCTAGATAGAATTTTAAACAAATTATTTGAGTTTTAATTCTTAGATAAATAAATTGAGTTTAAACATTTAATCCCTAAAAATAATGGATCCGTATCATTTCACAGACAATAACTTTACCGACAGCTTAGTTCGCCGACAATTAATTTACAGACAAGATTATTTTATCAACAATTACAGCTGTTTTCATAAATTCTGGGCCACCTAAAATTTTCTCGTTTCCCGAAACCTCTTCGATCTCATTCTAAGAATCACCTACTTTTTCGGAAACTACTTCTCTGTGCTTGGAATTTTGATATGGAGACAACGAAGTAATTTTTGAAAAGTTAGATGATTCTAAGAATAAGATTGAAGAGGTTTCGGGAGACGAGCAAATTTTTAGGTGGCCCAGAATTTATGAAAACAGCTATGATTCACCGGTTCTTTCACCGACAGCTTATTTCACAGACAACCGACAAGTTTTTTTTTATAAATACAATACGCTAATCTTAACTCTAATTCTAATCTAACCCTAACGGCAATGACCATAATTTCTTTATCTGTGAAATAGCTGGTGAAATGAATTTGTCGGTGAATTAATTGTCGGTAGAATAATTTTGTTAGTATATTAACTTGTCGGTGAAATGAACGGAACCATACGCCAATGCGCGTTCCGGAATGACGTACACATCACATTAGAGTTTCAACAAATAATTTGATATAGTAGGCGGATTTAAGAAAAATTTTCTTTGCCTCAAAATAACGCCCATGTGCGTACTCTAAATAACGAATATACTCAAAATATTGCGCAGGTAGGGTTATTTCGTGAAAATACTTTAAGAAATTTGTCATACAAAAAGCTTCATTTTTTTTATACATAATTTATCTGCAGTGCATCTTTATAAGGATTTTGACCCACAAAGGCACCTAAAAATTCTTCAAAAAGAAGCTCCACAGAAATTAAAAGATTACAGATTTTTAATGATTTAAAATGAAAATGACTTTAAATGTTATAAGAGATAAAAAGTGATGAAAATTAGAATTTCAGATGAAAAGTAAATATAACTGCAAGATCTGAGATATAAATAATAAAATTATGAGGTTAATAAATAATCACAAAATGATTCAGAGAAATTTATTCACCGTCTAATTATGATCGCATGCCGGGGACTTACTTGTTATTAATCACACTATTTTTATCGTAAAATTTCTTTCTTTTTATTATTTATTTTTTTTTTTCGGGCTTCAAAGAGATTAACAGGTTGCTATCGATTTCTAGAGCGTGTGTCTTGAGTTGGTAAATGGTATATAAAACGTCTGTTTTTTTTTTTTTTACATATCTGTGGCGGTGGAATGATCATGACGATGAAATAAACCGATATAGTCGTTGATTACATACAGTAAGCCCAACAGTAATAATATTATTAATGACCGCGACCCAAACCACAAGGATAATCAGTAGGATAGTAACAATACTCATGAGCCAATAAGTATACATTATCCGTCAAATTTATGATCATGGTTCGCAGGCTGTGTTTTAATCTGAATCTTTGAATAAACATAATTATATAGTAACACATGAAAAAAATAACGATAACTTCATGATCATAAGTGATTGCCGGATAAAGTTATATATTAAAAAAAAATAAAAAGTAATCTATCTGTGATATGATCACATTTGGAGAGTTTACTGCACCTTATGTAGTTATCACAATGTCAAATCTTGTTACGTTCGAATTTTTTCTATACAAACATATGACGTCACCTTCCATTATCCTGGTTGTTACATAATACTACCTACATGTTATTGTTTTATTTACAGGTTTTCATTCTGCAGCACTCAAAAGAATACGGGTTAACGATATCGATATTAATATCGATGTAAAGGTTATTTAATTTTCTGAATATAGTTTTGAAAATCGTAAAATTGTACATAAGTTGTGGGTTGCAATCATGGCAGTTGATTGATAACACTCAATTTAGTATTATTTATTGGAATCGTGATGAATTGAAGAAAAAAAATCTGTAGAAAATTAGAAGAAAAAAAAAAATACAAATAATCTAACAATAATTAAATAATCGAGATGTTTAAGTTTTTGACGCCAATGACTTTTAAAGTAATAATTTTGAATTTATTATTTTTTTTTCTTTTAACAAAAGGTTTGTTAATGGGCTGTACTGTATAAAAACAAATTCGGCTTAGAAAATTGTTGATTTTGCTGCGCATCGAGATATATCGTTTTAATACCAGTTGTCTTTATTTATTTAGATAAGCAAAAAGGCTTTTTCATAATAATAACACAAAGATGTTATAAATAATGTAAATAAATGTTTTTGATTATATAGTCCAATTTAAAAAAAAAAAAGAAAAAAAAACGGCAAAACAACCAAAAAGAAAAAAAGAAAAAAAATTTTTTTTAACGAATCTTTTTTTTTTTTTTTCTCAAAATAGTATAAACGCAATTCGCACTAAATTACACTAAACAGCAAAGGTCAAAATGCCGGTCAATCCTAAGAGACGACATCATAAGAGCTGGTGGAAAACTCTAGTTGAACGACGTGGTTGGGGGTATTTAGAATTACAATAAAGTTAGTGAAATTACGTGTATAACAAAATACATTGTTCAACTGATATGCTTTAAACGTGGTCGTTATTCCTACTACATAACAGATATCCTGACGCGTTGAAAATTCAAGGCTCTGTATTTTTGAATGTTATCCCTGTACTCGCTTTTATAACAGCATGGGCAACTCTTCTCACTGTCCTTTATATGATAGTCGGCATAACCAGCCTTGCCGTTTCATCTAATTTAAGTAAGAATCGAATATAACGTGATTTTCTTTTTTACTTATCAATATTTAATATATCTAATTCTCAATTTTATTTATACTGTATTATGTAGCCGCTTCCGTCGCTGTTGTAGTGGCACTTCTTTTAGCTTTCCGTACGAACAACTCTTATAATCAATATAATGAAGGTCGACGTTTATTCACTAGTATGTGGTTAGTATCAATAATAACATTTTTGTATTAATGTAATATTAGATAAAAATATATATTTTAAATCATACATATTATTTAGCACTATTGTTAGAAATTGTACACGTACATTATGGATAGGTGGCAAAGAAAAGAATTCTTCTGATCGTCTTGAAAAAGAAGATAATATTAAATTATTATTAGCTTATGTAATTGCTGTTAAACATCATATTCGATATGAATTTGGAATTCATTGGCCTGATTTGAAAGATCTTCTTCCTGATGGTTTTCAAAAAACTTATTATGAGGGTAGTGCTGTACAGCAAGACACTGGTGATGATACTTCCTTGCTTTCACAATTACCTATTCGAACAATATCAAGTAAAATCCCACCAACTATGTATAAATCGAAGGTTAGTAAATATTCAAAGGAGAAAAAAAGAAAATTGTATAATGTTGAAGAATTATCTGAAGTAGATGCGAGTATGAGTTTACCTTTGGTAAAATTATTTCTTTTAAAATGTTTTAAATTTAATTGTTCAAAATTCTTATAAACATTTCTAAATAAAAAACAAATATATTTTTTTTTTGAAAAAAAATTTAGGAAATAGTTTTTCATTTAAATTTATATTTCGTACAATTGCATAAAGAGCAAAAATTGGAACCTGCTAAATTTGGTTCATTGGCAAACGGGTTGGACGCTTTGATTGAAATTTTGGGTAGTTTAGAAAGGATTGGTAGCACACCTCTTCCAACTGCCTATAATGTTCATTTGTAAGTTTTCTTTAGAATTTTTATGCATTTTATTAGAAAATTTCTATTTATCACCATATGGCATAATCAAGAATATTTAAATTATTTAAAACTTAGTGATATATTAAAAAGAACTTTTTTATAAAAATTATTATGTGGTGATATATAGTAATATATTCATTATTTTATTATTTACATAACATTTGCTATTTTTACAGGAAACAAGCATGCGTTTTATATAGTAAGAATAAAATTTTACGTATAAGCATTGTATTTTTTTTTTTCTAAATTACATACACATGTTTTTAATTCCTATTTCTTGTCTTATAGTGCTTGCTCTTCCATTTACTATACTTGCTGACCTTGATTGGTTTACTATCCCTACTATGGCTCTAGTTGCCTTTATTTTCTTTGGTATTTTGGCTGTTGGTATGTAACATAATTATTTACAAATACTGTATGTTAACATTTATAATAATACTTTTATAATAATTATTTTTAAAATTTGAATAATAGGTAGCGAAATTGAAAATCCATTCGGTATGAAATTTTCATGTTTTTATGTTTTTACGAATTCATTTTAAAAAGTCTCTGTTTTTTTTTTTAATTCATTCCTTGTTTTGTATTTTAGGGTACGATGATAACGATCTTCCATTGGACGAATATTGTAAAGTAAGAAAAAGCTTTTTTTCAGATTTATTTAGATGATTTGATTATTTGATTATTTGATTATGTTGAATTAAAAAAAAAATTTAAATATAATTCAGGATTTGGAAGCAGAAGTCAAATATTTGCAAAGACATCTTCCGAGTGGTTTAGCAAGTTCAAAAAAATAATTAGAAAAATGTAGCGATAGGATTTATCGTTTAAAAATTTTTAGCTTTATTATTACTTCCGATAGAATAATATATATTTATTATTTGGTTTTATTTAAACAATTAAAAATTTATCTTGTTTTATTTTATTTTATTTTTATTATTATTATTTTTTTTTTTGAATAAAATTTAAAAAAGTATCGTAAAAAATCGAGAAATTTAATTCTGTAATTCTGTAATTAGTCATGTGTCTATGCAGATCTGTAGTTTTAAACAATGCTACGTATTACAAAATTAAATTGGAATTACGGAAAATTTTGACAGATTAACGTTAACTTAACTGTTTAAAGATGTAGTAAATGTTTATATAATTTGATAATAACGGTTTACAAAATATTCTAGAAGACTTAATTCTGAAAGTTCGTCATAGTTGCCCGGGTAGCTCAATTGGTAGAGCGTCAGGCTTTTAACCTGAATGTCGGGGGTTCGAGCCCCCCCTCGGGCGATCGCAATTTTTTTTGAGAAATTTTTTTTTTTTTTTGCATCGAGAATAATCACATGATTAATTTTAATACTGTACACTAATTTTTACGATGTTCAAAGCGCAACGGAAGTTCGGGATGGGTACAAACTAAGCCATTGGCTTATTTATTATCATTATGTGTACAATTAAAATAATTCGATTTCAAAAAACCTATATAATATACTTTATTTAATTATAAAAAGTAAACGAATAACTTAATAAATTTTAATTAATTATTAAATAATATATCGAATCTCCCTAAGAATAATTCGAATAACGGGTATTAAGTATCTCCCAATTAATGTAGAACACTTTTCATATATTTTCTTATTCTGATAAGTGAGACACGTATCAAAAAAGTGTCATCTTTTGATGTATGGTACTGGATCAAAAACTGGAATTTTTTTTATAGGATACTTTTTGCTTCGCATTGTCTAAGCCACGATTATACTTAATAAATTTTGAAAAAAATTTTTTTTCCGTTATTATTTACAACTTTTATTTACAACTTTAAAAGAAAAAGGTTAAAATTTAAAACGAAGAAAATAAAGATGCATGACAATAAAGGTGAAACTACGAATAGACCACATCATCAACAACAACCACCACCACCACATCAACAACAACCACCACCACCACATCAACAACAACCACCACCACCACATCAACAACAACCACCACCATCACCACAACAACAACCACCACCATCACCACATCAACAACCACCACCATCACCACATCAACAACAACCACCACCATCACCACATCAACAACAACCACCACCATCACCACATCAAAAACCACCGCATAGACCACCACCACCATCACATCAACAACCATCATCAAACCAACAACCACCGTCTTATCAACAACCACCTCCACAATTATTTTATCGGCCACCACCTCCGCAGCAATTAGTTCATCGTAAACCACCTCCACAACAACCACAACCACCTTCGCAACAATTACCTCATAGACAACCACCTTTGCAAATTCGATTACGAAATGATACAAATCCTATGCAACAACAGTTATTAAGACCATTACAACCACAACAAAGATCTCCAACAAACTCTAATACTTATAATACGAATGAATCTGGTCAATCAATATTTCAAAATAATAAATCAAATTTACATCAGGAAAATAAAAGTGAAATGAAATTTTCTACAGTACCTTTAGATGAATTACATTCGGTAGATATTAAATCCGAAAATAATACTAAAAATTCTTTACCAAACCAAGGTAAACTAATTTTTATCTTTCATTAATTTCATTAATTCCATTAATCTTTTTATCAATTAATTAATCAATCAATTCAACTGTCAATTATTTCGCTAATTATTTTATAATCATTTTTAGGTTGGACTAGTAGTAGTAACGCTTCAGAAAACCCAAATCTACGTCAGCGTGCTCCTCCAACAGATTCTAAAAATTCTGATGTTAAAAAAGAACAGTCATCTGAGGGACAAACTAAACATCAAAATCTACTTTCAACGAGTCTTCATTGGACTTGGATTTTATTGATTTTCCTTGCGTTAGCAGCTCTCGCATTTACTGTTTATCGACTGGTATTTATATTTATCAGAAATTTTTTATTTCATTTATTTTCATCATCATCTGGTTAGTAATTATTTATTTATCATAGGATTCAATTTATGTCGAAGATAAAAAAGTTCATATTACGGTTAGTTAATTAACTTACTATATATATATATATATGTACAAGATTTATTATATTTAAAAAATGTTGAACATTAAATTACTTGTTTTAAATAATAGATGCAACGTCCTTTCTTGGAAGTATTTACGAATTCAACAGTTACTTTGATGCAAGATCTTATCAAAATTAGTGATTTACCTGGTATGTAATAATAATAATAAAGATTTATTTTTTTTTTTTTGGAAAATCTTACAAAATTTTTTGTATTAATAATTTATTATATACAAATTTATACTTATTTCAATAAGCATCGGATACAGTTTTGAAAGGAACAGTCTTATATAAACGTTTAGCCAACATCCTCGAAACCAGTCCTGGTTTTAAAACTAATGGTCCTACCATCGCATCTTATCTTCGTCATTACAGTACTCAAATAATGGAAGCTGGACAAGCATTTGAAGATATGTATCGTCAAGGTGATTTGGTATTTTGGATTTTAGATAGAGAAATAACTCAAATTCTTGAAAAATTAAAACCAAATATATTTGGACAAATATTCTTTAAAGATGATGATCCAGCATTTTTTAAAGAAAGAATTCAAGATATGATGCAAGTTGTTGATGTATTTAAATCAAAAGTTACTGCTGCAATTAGAGCAGTTAGAGTTGCTGATTCAATTAGAGATCAAACTGAAAAAGGTTTATTTCGTGGAATTAAAATTGAAGCTGAAAAATTTGTAAAACTTGGAGCACGTCAAAATGATTATCGTATAGGTAATTCTCCTTACATAAGTGATGAATTAATTATTGATGTTGAAAATGCAAAGAAAGATTTGGAACAAGCTGAAGAAATTTTAGATTTATTATATAGATCAGGTTATGGATTAAATAGGTTGATTATTATTTTAAATAATTATAGAAATAGATTATATGATATTGATGGTGAACTTGATGATAAAATTTCCATTACAAAAAATCAAATTGAAAAGTTAAGAAAACTTTTGGATAATTTAAAAGAGTGTCATGAAAAATTTTCTAAAAGAGATGTTATTGATGATGGTTTTGATAATAGTTTTGGTGTTAATTATGATTCAAAAAATGAAATTGATGATTATGTTAAAACTGATGATGATGATTATTAAAAATTTTTAGCTCACATTCGTGGTCATGTTTATTTTTTATTTAAAAAAAGCATATAATTTTTGTTAAGTTTTTATTGTCTGATATTATTAAGTGTAGTTATGTGTAATATAAAGTAACCAAACTTTTACCCGATTCAATTTCTACATGAACTATACCAAATTGAATTAATCAATCTTAAAAATTAAATTCGACCCAAGATTTGATTTGTCCACATTAAACATGTGTCATTAAAATCATATTAGCTACGTACCTTATTTTAGAACTTGAAAAAAAGCATACGTGCGTACGTTCTTACATCGAATAGTATGTTGTACAATATGGATTCAAAAAGAAATTCTTATGAGTTCGTTATGCTTGATAACGTTATTTTTTGCTACCGTATTTTCGTGTAATAACGCTCATCTACGCGTTATTTTGAGCATATGCGCGTTATTTAAAGTACGCGCATGAGCGTTATTTTGAAACAAATATAAAGTTTTAAAGTATCTCCTTATATAAAAAATAAATAAACAAAAAAAATACTCAGAAACAAGCGTTGGATACTAAGTAAACTTATTTTTCGAGCTTTTATAAAAGTTGTTCTTCAGATCGAGACGTCTGGAGAAGAATTTTTATATAAAGCTCGAAAATAAGTTTATTAGTACCGACTCTTGTTTCTGAGTATTTTTTTTAAAATTTACTATATTGTGAATAAGCTCCTTCTATTATAAGGTGCGCGTTATTTTGAAACCATATATGTTAGGGGTGAAAACTTTCTAAATAACGTTTTTGGGAATTATTACACGAAAATACAGTATAAAGTTATTAATATGCCCAAATAAAAAGCTACTACCCATCGTGACATCTTTTTCTTTTTTATGCCAAAATTATATTTAGCGGAAGAAACGCATGACTTCTTTAATATGACAGATCAAGAGAAATCCGCAAATTCAGAAACTCTCCAGGTATTAATTGTAGTTAACATTAATTCTGGTGAATATTATAAAAAATTTTATCACTTAGAGTCCTGTAATAATTTTTATTATATCAATCTTTCTAATGATAATAACTACAGTAAACTCATTTGTCAATAACTTTCAGAGCAAAAAAGACGCGATGAAATGAAATGTTGTCTCGAGACGCTACGTGAATTTCTCTCGCCTACATCGTATGTGAGTGACTGAATCTCATGATTTGTTCATAACTGATAACTTTTTATACGAAAAAAAAGATCAGAATTTTATACTTGAGCTGGATTCTAAAGTCATTAACCAGTTTTCTAAAAAAAAATTCTTGAATAAAAAGTTATAATCGAATGAGAACATGGTAACCCTATTATAAACGATCTATTTTCACATGAAATTAATTACATAAAGTTGCTCTTAACATAAAAGTCTACGTGGCAAACTCGAACTTTGAATGAAGAAATTAAAGGATTCTGTAATAGAAACAATAACCTTAATCATTCCTTGCATCGTGAATGCTGAAAGAGAATAGGTTTTCACTGAAATCAATCGTTTAAATGGGAAAGGGAGATACTTATTAACGAAGTGAATAGGTTGAATGATGAAAGGAAAGCGCTTCTTAAAAAAGTCGATAATTTGACTGACTACTTCTTCAATTCGGCAAATTAATCATAATTAAAACCTTAATTTTTAAATTAAGAGATTTCTCACGCGTCGTACGTACGTATGACGTGTCGTGTGATTATCATTATGTACAACGACTATATGGGAATAAAATTTATCGATTGTATTTTTTTATAAATTATGAATTCTATAACTGAATTGCTAAAAAAAGAACTAGTGCTAAATGAATTTTGCAGAATATACGACGGGTTTACATTCTGATTTAGTCGTTCGTGAAGATTGAAAATACAGTAGATATGCAAACATCGAGCCAGAGTTTGGAACCGGTTGTATTTTTTTTATATTTTAAACCAAGTTTTAATCGGTTTTAACACATGAAGAAATAAAATCAGCTCTAAACCCACGTTTTTTTTAGCTAGCTGATCCAAAGCTGCGGCTATAATTTGTATTGTAGATATTGTGCCCAGATGTCAATTTGTCCCAGATGTCAATCGGGCCAAATTAAATTAGGGTTAGGGTAAAATTAAAGTAAAGTTAGAGATCAGTTTAGGCCAATTTTTATTTTTGGCTGCAAAAATTGACATCTGGGACAAATTGACATCTGGGGCA